ATTGCGTTGAGATTATTCTAGGACATCCGATGTTAATTCCAACGCTATCCTCCCTTCCCCCACACCACCAACGGATTCACGTGAGAAGTACGCTTTATTACTCACCTGATGGGTCACTCGATCATGAAGTGCCGAGTAGGGCATGACTAACGCTGACCTCTGACACAGCTCAGTGCTCGGCCAGCAGTTAACCCCCCACGAACAACAGATCCACTAATACCTATACTCGGCAATGATAGCCACTTGCAGTATGATGCGTCTGTGTATGTATATATATATTCCAAAATTGTCTACCGTCTTGTTCATATTTTATTTTTTATATTCAGTAGCTGGGTTAGGCAGTGTACTCTGTGTTCAGTCGTAGCAAAAGCGTCCGAGCATTCGGCGCGGCCGGTCACGTGATTCGTGTTGGCAGCCGATAGTTGCCGGTTCAGGCAGAGTCAGTCATAGACTAGCTATATCCTAGACGGTCGCCATCCGTGCTTGACATATCTGCTTTAAATGTGTGAAGTGCGTCATTCGTCAGTCTAGCTCATCCGATTATTGTCGATAGTGCCAATTTCATGTTTTGACCATATTTTCCATGCAGTTGTGTCGGTAGTAGCTTGTGTGTGTGCGTGTGCGTGTGTGTGTACTGCCACACACTGCTGCTGTGATGTATATCTCCCACTCGATGAGCCCAGACTGCGAGGAATTGGCGCATAGAGTCAATAGAAAAATGTATTTACGGTGGAAGCTGTAGGTCTGTACATACATCTCGACACATACCTGAATACCTGAATCCTCATCTTCACACCTTGTTGGGCCGTGCACCGTTTGTCATCGCTGTTTGTTGTTCCCTCTCGTCTCTCTCTTTCTCTCTCTCTCTCTCTCTCTCTCGCTCTCTATCTCTCTCTCTCTCTCTCTCTCTCTCTCTCTCTCTCTCTCTGTCTGTCTCTCTCTGGCTTTGCAATTTAGCTTGGCTTTTTATTACTCGAATTTCATGTTTAATTTTCACTGGTGCTCGTCCGATTTTATTCGAGAAATAAGTGAGCTAATTACGCCGAAATATCCGGATAATTTGATGCTATTGAGTTTTTACACGTCATTAACAGTTACGCTACGTGTCAGCAACTTAAAACCCGCATAATATCGCAGCTATTAGTATAATTTCATTGTGACGGACTCGACTGCTGGCTGATTCATCGTGCTTAAACAACGCGTTTTCTCTCACAGCGACCCACGAGCGGTAATTGGTCAAACTAGCGAGTACTGTTAAGCGTAGCCGTCCCGCGTTCTTCACCATAGTCTTCACCCGGGATGTATCGTGATGACGGCTTCGCAGCTTCCTCCCTATAATTACCGCATTTATAGAGCAGCTACACGGGTATCACAATGAAAGCTCGCGTAAGACTCGGCCCCCGACACTAATGATACATCGGTTCAGTGACCGCACCTCGCGTCGCACGTCACGTCGCCATGGCAACCCAACCACCTCGAACGCGTTGCGTTGCCATGGCGACCCTGTTCCGTCAAACACGTCGCATCTGACCGTTGCAATGGCGACCCTGTCCCTTCATACACGTCGCGTCCAACCGTTGTCATGGCGACCCTGTTCCATCAAACGCGTCGCGTCCGACCGTCGCCGCGGCCTCTGCCGCTCGCACGAGAGCGTGGTGTTGACGGTGTATGCGCGCTTGTCGCTTGCTATCGCAGGAGCTTGTTATCTTAGGGGAGATTATCCTGTTATCGCAGGAGCTGTCGAAGGAGGCGGAGAAGAACCTGACGCCGCGGCAGTGCGCCGTCCTGGACATGGCGCTCGACACGATCAAGCAGTACTTCCACGCCGGCGGCAGCGGACTGAAGAAGACCTTCCTCGACAAGAGCCCCGAGCTGCAGTCGCTGCGATACGCGCTCTCCCTGTACACGCAGACGACCGACACGCTCATCAAGACGTTCGTCGGCACGCAGACGTCACAGGGTACGAGAAATGCGAGCGTGGCCGCCGGGGGCGCCACTAGGCTACTGGGCGCCGTGGTCGGCCACGTGGCCACGCACGGTAGTTTTAGCAATAGCAGCCACCCCTCCGGTTCTCCCCCAGTCCAAATTTTGAGCAGGCTGGATAAATTTTATGGGTTTTAGTACGTTTAATAAGTTGTGTGGTATAAATCGCCAATCAGTATTGAGCAGAAGATTCAGGGCAGTGTGCAGGAGCTGGGGGCGCTGCTTGCCAAGGTGAAGGGAGGTGGCAACGTGGCGCTGAGCAAGCCCAGCGACCGGCAGAACGTCTCGCACGAGGCGGACATGGTGCTTCGGCCGCTCATGGACCTGCTCGATGGAAAGTAAGTGCCACCTTGCAACGACTGCGCGCAACTTCTCTCATTTATGTTCTCTTCTCGCCGATTTCTCAATAGCTTTACTTCCTTGCCGTCAATTTTGTTCGTGTCCGAAGTTGTTGTTTTTTGACACTCCGATTTCTCTCGCGCACGCTCGCTGCCAAATTTTTTTTTTGAGTCGGATATTTTTATTAGACTCTAACATTCTTTTCCTCTTGCGCTTCCCCTTTGCAGCCTTTCCCTCTATGCTCAAATGTGCGAGAAGACGGTGCTGAAGCGGCTGCTGAAGGAGCTGTGGAGGATTGTGATCCATTCGCTGGAGAAGTCGGTGGTGTTACCGCCACTAACCGACCCCGGCAGCGTAAGTACAGATCACACGCGCGTCGCATCGACACATACAACTACTCGCTACGATAGTTACGATATTATAGTCTGATAATTTAATTGACGGACCATTGATGGGGTCCGTAGTCGTTGGAAGCGCCGAAAATAGTCGAAGAGTGTAGAGTGTGAAGGGTTTTGTGATGCGTTAAGTACACTCGTGTGCAAAGGTTATGACGTCCTGGACTCGTGATGTCATAGCTACTGCACTGATGTTTCTGGATACGGTCCCCTGTTGTACCTCGCTAATATATTATATGTAATAAATTATAATTAAAATATATATATATATATATACTTATATATAATTATATACTAATTATATACTGATATATAATATACTTATATAAATTATTGTACTATTAACCATGTACGGGGTAGTTAATTCGTAACCTGTGAATGTGTCCGATGTAAGACAAGCGCTTGCATCAGTGAGCTAGGTTTCTTCTGGTAGCGGGTTCTCTACTAATATCTCCACTCTTCTCGTTATAAAACCTCTTAATGCACGACTGTGATTAATGGTTTCATGTAAGGCGTCAATCTCTGCTACTAACCAGTGGTTTTTCTTAGACCGCTTAGAAGTTCGCGTAATGGTGATGGCTAATCTGTTATGTTGGTTTTTCATGACTGTCATCTTCCATCTTTACGCCGCCTCTGCTTTTTCCTCCGATGTGGTGTACTCATTTTCCGCACTCTTCTCTTCTCGTCTATTTTTTTAATTTTTCCTCCCTTCCTCTCTCTCTCTCTCTCTCTCTCTCGCTTGCATTATCTCTCACTCCCTCCTTCCTTCCCTCTCCCCTCTATCTCCCTTTCCTCCCCCGATCTCCCTTTTATCTCTCCCTCTTTATTTCCCTTCCTTCTCCCCCTCACTCGCCCTCTCTATGCTTTTTCTTTCTTTCGGGGCTTCGGTGTTTTCAGCTGTCGTGTCTTTCAGAATCTGCCCTTGCTGCCGAACACGGCCAAAATCGAGGACGTGTCGCGGTTGTTCCTCAACCACGTAAGTGGGAAGCAGAACGTCTCATTTTTGGTACGCTGGAGGTTTCGCTGCTAGCTGTTGTACTGTCGTCGTCGTCGTCGTCGTCGTCGTGCCGTCATCGTCATCGTCGTCGTCGTCGTCGTCGTGCCGTCATCGTCATCGTCGTCGTCGTCGGTGACACGTAGCGAGTCCCCCCCACGCTCACGCTCCTATCCGTGTCACAGCGTGCACCGCACCGCCCCCTGCCGTAGCGAGTGTAGCATGGTATACGTCCCTCCCTATAGCAATCGTCCCCCCTATGGCAATCGTCCCCCCTCTGCATTGCGTATGGGCAGTAAAGTTTTACCCATGGTTTGCGATGGTAGGGATAGGGATGCATACCATTGGGGGTGAATCATGGCAAATTGAATTTTGACATTGATTGATAAAATGACAAAATTGATTTTGTCATTATTCACCTCTAATACCATGCTACACGAGCAGCACCTAGACTCTTCTCTCTCTCTGTATGGAGGGTGAGCTTGATTGTCCCGTGTGGCACGCCCTCCCTCGCTCTCACGCGGGCCAGGCCGCCAGGCTGGGAGCACGCACGGCATGCGCATGATGTTAGGGAGCACACATACACGCACGCACTCTTTCTCCTCTCTCTCTCTCCTCTCGCTTCTCTCTCTCTCTCTTCCACTCTCCCCCCTCTTTTCTTTTCTCTCTGCCCTCTCTCTATCTACCTCTCTCTCCCCTCTTTCACCTCTTTCTCCTCTCTCTCTTTCTTCCCCACCGCTCTCTCTCTCTCTCTCCCAGCCCCGTTCTCTCTCTCTCTCTCTCTCGTCTCGTCTCTCTCTCTCTCTTTCT